TGCCTTGTCCTTCACAGCCGCTTACCTACTTCCCATGTCTATGGGTTGGTCTCTTCGGGGTATTTTATATGAATGCAAGCTAATAATATGTAGTTTTTTATGACTGGCTTTTATAATATGTAGTTTTTTATAACTGGTTTTTACTTTGCATGAGGTTTTCAAGGTTTGTCCATAGTGTCCAGTGTATTAGTAGTTTATTTCTTTTTATGATTGAATATTCCATTTTATAGATGTACTGTATATTATTTATTCAATCATTACTTGATGGACATTGGGATTTTCCTCATTTTTGGTATTATGAATAATGCTGGTGTGAACATCTGTGTTGAAGTTTTGTGTCTGTGTGTTATCATTTCTCTTTTTTATATTCCTAGGAGTGGAATTGCTGAGTCATAGGGTAACTGTTTAACGTGGAGGAATTGCCCACCTGTTTTCCAAAGTGGCTCTACCATTTTACAGTCCTAACAGCAATAATTGAGGGTTCTGATTTCTCTACATTATCATCAACTGTTGATATTGTCTTTTTATTATAGTCATTCTAGAGGATGTGAAATGGTATTTCATTGTGGTTTTTATTCATGTATCCCTAATGACTAATGATAATTGAGCATCTTTTCATGTTTTCTTTTTTTTTTTTTTTTTTGCTATGTGCATATCTTTTGAGAAATGTCTATTTATATCCTTTCCTCATTTTTAAATTGGATTGTCTTTGTTTTTCAGTTGTAGAAGTTCTTTATATATGCTGGACATTGAATTCTTATCAGATACATGATTCACAGATATTTTCTGTGGATTATCTTTTAACTTTCTTGATCGTGTCCTTTGAACCACAAAGGTTTTTAATTTTGATGAAGTCTAATTTTTTAATTTATCTTTTTCTTCTGTTGCTTGTGCTTTTGGTGTTTTATCTTACATGAGAAACCATGCTGTTATCTGAGGTCACATAGATTTATGTTTACCTTTAAGAGTTTTGTATTTTTAGCTTTTAGGTCTGTATTATTTTTAAGCTAATATTTGTTTATAGTGTGAGCTACAGGTCCAGATTTGTTCTTTTTCATGTAGATATTCAGTTGTCCCAGCACCATTTGTTGCAAAGACTGTTCTTTCTCTATTGAGTGGTCTTGATATCATTGTCAAAGTCAACTGATCATCAGTGTTTGTTTTTGGACTCTCAGTTCATTCTGTTGCTCTATATATCTAACCTTAGTGCTAGTACCACACTGTCTTGATTATCATAACATTGTAGTATGTTTTGACATTAACAAAGTGTGAGTCCTCCAAGTTTGTTCTTTTTTGTTAAGATTATTTCTGCTATTCCGGGTCACTTGCATTTGCATGTGAATTTCAGGATCAGCGTGTCACTTTCTGAAAAAAAGCTGGGATTCTGGGAGTCAGGTAGAGATTGACTTAATTTTGTAGATCAGTTTGGGAATATTGCCATCTTTACATTTCTAAGTCTTTTGTTTCATGAATATGGGATGTCTTTCCATTTATTTAGATCTTTGTTCAATAAAGTTTTGTAGTTTTCAATGTATAATTCTTGCATTTCTTTGGATAAATTTAGTCCTATTTTTTTTGATGTTATTGTAAATTTAATTGTTTTCTTAATTTCATTTTTCAGATTGTTTATTGCCAGTGCACAGAAGTAGAATTGATTTTTGTATATTGATCTTATGTTGTGCAAAGCTTGCTGAACTTATTTATTCATTCTAATAGTTTTTAAGTGGGTTCCTTAGAATTTTCCATATACAAGATCACGTCATCTATGAACAGAGATAGTTTTACTTCTTTCTTTCCAGTCTGGACAGTTTGTATTTCTTGCCTGTTTTCCCTGGCTAGAACATCCTGTGTAACGTTGAATAGAAATGGACAGAGTAGACGGGTGCATCCTATCTTTTTCCCAAGCTTAGCAGGAAAGCATTGAGTCTTGCAGCTTTTAGTATGGTGTTAAACTGTGGGTTGTTCATAGATGCCCTCTGTCAGGTTGAAGAAGTACTCAGCTCATGGAGTATTTTATCATGAAATGGTGTTGGATTGTGTCAAAGACTTTTTTTCTGTGTTCATTGACAGGATCATGTGGTTTTAATCCTTTATTTAACATATAGTACTGATTTGTGAGCTTTTTTGAGCATAGGGTTGTTTATTCATTTTAATGTCTTATTTAACTTTGCTAAGAACTGTTCCTTTCACATAGCTGTAGTCTCTAAAATGTTTATTGGATGATCATTTTACACATGAAGACTTTGTAAGGAGGTTATCTCAAAATTCCAACTAGAATTTGTATAGTACTCTAGCTTTTTGCTTATTCTGCAGGCCCATAGTGCTTCATTATTAACATTAATAGGTATTCATTACCATAACTAATATGGAAACTGAATATAGAAAAAATGTTTGATGGGCATATTGTTTATACGTAATTGCTTTTATAGTGTTTACATGATACTAAAAGTTACATTTGGTCTAGGTTTATACAGTTAGACTAGTCTGACTTTACTATGTACCCAGGTACAAAATACTGATCATACATGCTTCCTCTATGTTTATTTTCCAATTTTAAAATAAATTAGGAATTGACATATACATGTAAACATTGACTCTGTGTATATGTGTGTACTTATTTAAGGCACAGTGTGTGAAATTTAGTAGATATTCAGTAAGTAGTTCTTGTATTAGGAAAAGAGACTTACATCTTAGCTAGAAATAAATGACTATATTAAGTTAATCTCATTATAAAAGTACAGTTTTGTCTGGAATAGTGCCATACATAAAGTACAAGTAAAACTTTTCTTGACCTCCATGTAACTAAATCTCTGGATTTTACGACACTTTCCATTCTCTTTGAATAAAATATTGATTGATGCCCACAATATGCTGGTTTCAAGACTGGTAGGTCGTTTCCCAAGAGGCCCAAATTAGTACTATTTTTTTGTCCCCTATTTACCAACATTTACTTTTGTTTATTCCCAAATCTGTTTGTGTTTATTATATTTGATGACATACTCAAGTAATTCACTTTACTTATATAGAAATTGATGAAATATGAATGTAGAAAGAGAGGGTTTTTAATATGTAAAAATTTACAGCGAATACTTTGGAAAAACGTCAATCACCTAAAATTTCCTTTCTAATGTTATGTGGATAAAACAGCAGTAGAAGATTGTGAAAGAAATAGTAAAACTATATGAATGCTGTACTTAGATTGCATTGTCAGTATCTTTAAAATTCCATTTGAAAAATTAAATACAAATCTTATACCTGGGTACTTTTTTACTTAAGAAAACGATCCTGAACTCTAGTTTATAGAACCATACTTAAAATGTCTTTGGCTGATAGCACAAAATTAGCAAAATTGTATTTTATGTGAAAGTAACATGCAAGTAGAATTTTTATGATTCTACAGAATAGCTGACATTTTTTATGACCTTAGTTATCAATTCTGATCTGGTCATATAAGAGAAGTTTCACACTATTCATATCAAATGGGAATTATAGAATGTGCTGATTGGTACCAGGAAGAATAATTTATCTGTGAAGATTTGAATTAAGACTCTGCTGACTAAAAGGGCAAAGTCTTTGCTGTCATCTGAGAAAAATGGATAAACAGAGATGAAGACATTTCTTTCCTTATCCCACTAGTGTGTGATTTGGCACCACCACGTGCCAATAGTAGCAATTTGAAATCTAGTTTCCTGTAGTTACATTTGGGCAATTTGTGTAGCAAATATACTACTATTGATGATAAAAATAATCAATTCAAGGTGTTTGAATAGTGGAGTACTGTTGGCTAAAATAGAAAAGTTAATTGTTAATAATAAAATTTAAAAAACCCATTGAATATAAATATCACCTAGAAATATTTCTAGAAGTCAAAAGGAAAAAAATGGATAGAAAATAGGAATTTAATCTTTTTTGCAGTTATTTTTAGATAAGAAGAACCCTAGGACATTTGTTAATGGAATGTAGAAATAGTTTGTATACCCGAGTGTGAATTTGTATAGAGTTATTTTATTAAATCCCATGAAATTTTATTTTTATATTTAGCTTTTTATTTTGTATTAATATTTATTGAGCAGTGAAAAATAGATTATTAAGGCAGCATATTAAAATGTCTGACATCTTATTTCAAATTTATGAAGGTTAAAAGCATATAACAATGGCTGGCACATAAGTTCTACAAGTTTTGGGGTTTTTTTTGTTTTTTACTCTGCATACCTTTTTAATTAAGGGTGTAGATTTGGAGCTAGAATGTTATTCATATTCCACCTCTGCTACTTTCTAGGTGTGTGACTTAGGGTAAGTTACTTAATTTCTCTGTGCTTCAGTTTTTTATCTGTTTATATGAGGTGAAATTATATATTCTTCATGGGTTTTAGGAATTAAAGTATGTAATGCGTTTATATAATGCCTTACAAGAAAATGCTTTGTGTTTGCTGTTATATGCAAATTCACAGAAATTTGCATTTTAATCTATATTCAAGCCTATTGTAAAAATTGATACATTCATTGGTGATATAACATCATGCCACATAATTATGTGGCTCTTCAATTATATTTTTAGTGTAAACTACTTCAGAATGACACTACAGGAATGAAAAATGCCTGTAAAAGGATTATTTAAGAGCAATATTCCAAAATAACATTTGTCGGCTTTTTCAGGTTTCTCATCTTTTTATTTTAAGTGAAAGAAAAAACTTGGGTCAGAGTAACGTATTTTAAATATATATTATTTTGTTTCTGTATATTGCTGTTTTAAATCCTTCTTTTTTTCCCTAATACTGTCTTATTTCTTTTAGATCTGTAATCATTGAGCATTCTGATTTTCAGCAGAAACTACCTGATTAGGTTGCTGTGTAATAAACCTAACTCTAAATCTAGACCTCAGTAAGTAGCATGTATTGACTTTCAGATCATTAGAATATTTATGAGTCTATTATATAATTTACCAAAATTCTATAAAAAGCCCACACATACCACAGACTCCTTAATGGAATTAATGACAGCTTTGGTCGCCCAGGAGTAGAATGTTATTGCCAACATGACAGTGGAGCCGCAGTAATTCAGCTCCAGTTCCTGATTAATGAGGTTAGTGAATTGCTTTAATCTCTCCTTCTTGTGTATGAAATAGGGCTGCGTCTTGTCTTTCAGATTTCTTGCATTCATTCATACTGAAATATGTAAACAAAAAACTGTTTTCTTACAAGTCGGAAATAATAGTAATTCACTTTAAGGCATCGTTTTGGACAATTATATAAACGATGTTTATCAAAACAGTGTTGCAAATAGAATGGTTTAAGCTAAATCTTTTTGGTACAGGGTGCCGCATTTAAATTATTTCAGTGATATTGAAAGTTATAAAACATGTAAAAATCCATATTAAATGTGGAGCTCATTATAAATAACAAAATGTACTTTTCAAATGAATTGTGAAAAAGAGCCAGGAAACCAAAATCCATTAGAAACGGATTATTGTCCAAAGTTCTTGTTGTGTCACATGTTGGTTCAAGTAATTGATGATGCTCCCCCCCTTTTTTTTTGGTAAACTATAAAGTTTGGAAGGAGCTAGAGAAAACCCATTTTATCAGCAGAGTAAACAGTGTATTGGCAGGTTTTAAAAAAGTATGGTCAGTTCTGAGAATAGATGTAAGTAAGCAGTGACAGGCAGGAAAAGCTGGTAATAAAAGGATGAAGGAGAAATTACTCCATAAAAGGCTTTGCTATTCTTAAATGTGAGGATAATCGTGGACATTATTTTTCCCTTAAATTCTTAAATGTATGTGAGAGAAAAAAATAGTATCTCTGGCTTTTGATAAATGTTTTATTTATCTCAAAGGATTAAAAGCATTATGGGTGTAAAGAGCTAAAGAGGATAAAAGAAAAATATTCAGCAAAATTAGGATCCAAATAAAATACAGTTGTGTAGGTTTTCCAGGGTAAGAGGAAGCTTTTTTTTTTTTTTTTAACTTTAGTATTCTCCATAGAGCTGCATTGTAAAGTGTTAAAAAAAAAGGTTGTCAAACGAATATATGAGGACTCAGATTATTTTTTCTTTTTAAAAATTTTCTCATTTTGAAATAATTACGACTGGCAGTTAAGTTTCAAAATAGAAAGGTCCTATGAATTTTTTCCCCCAGCTTCTCCCATAGTAACATTTTATATAACAGTAGTACAACAGTATGATATTTGTAAATTGTGTTCTATATAAAATATATTATACTTTATTTTTAAGGGAGCTCTTGTGAGTGCCTTGGCTGATGACACCTTACATTTATGGAATTTACGTCAAAAGAGACCTGCCATACTTCATTCACTTAAATTTTGTAGAGAAAGGTGAGAATCACTTGGTTTTCTTATATAGAGAGGATAAATATTTGTTATTCTCTTTTCAAATATTTTCTCTGAATTTTATGCTTTGATATTATTTTTCTGTGATGGACTTTATCCTAAAAATAATTCATCCTTAGAACTTCTAAGGATGTCCAGTGAAAAGTAAGTTTTCCTTTTCAGATCCATCTTCCTCTCCAGAGGCAACCACATAAATTTCTTTTGTGTCCTTTTGTAAATACTTGCAGTCTGTGTATATAAGCAAAAATCTCTGAATAGCTCTTTTTTTTTTTCCACATAAAAGGGAAGGCATTATATATTTTTTTCTGTAACTTTACCTGATAGGTTGTTTCATATTGGTACCTTTAAACCTTCCTTAGTCATTTTCATAAATGCATGATACTCCATTGTATGAAAGTGCCATAATTTGTTCAGTCTTTGTTATTAATGGGCATTTATATCATTTTCTGTCTGCCATTCGTTTTGCTGTGTTGTAATACTATGTTACGTATTTGTCTGTCCACATTGATGAATATATCTGTAAGATACTTGTAGAGTGGAACAGCTTGATCACCAAAATCTCTCATATGTTGTGTGTTTGTGCTTTGATTGAAAAGGCATTTTACTCCCCAATTTAATTAAACATTCTTCGATATTTTCTTATAGTACTCTTAAAGTTGCACTTTTTATGAATAATCTTTGATTTATATGGAACTTATTTTTTAATGAAATGTGAGTAGGAATATAGTCATCTTCCTGTCCCCCATTGCTTGTGAGACATACTTTTTTACTTATATACATAAAAATATATATGTACATATGTCTGTATATGAGCATATATTATATCTGTATGGGTAAAAGAAATCTGGGTCTAGCTAGTATCTAAATGCAATGGAGTGAGTGTCTTTGGGCCATGTTTGTGGGAAGATAAGCATTAGACCATGTTTCTGCTGAAGTGTCAGTCTGTTCAGGTTATATGAGCAGGTCAGTCTAGGGGTCTGTGCTTCTGCCCACAGTGGCCCTCCAAAGTATGGAAGCTAGGCTGCTGGGAATATAGGCTGCTGCGTTCAGACCTCTCTAGGTTGCATACAACAGCAAGCCATGTCTTTATTGTATGGGGGAAGGAACCAGAGCTGGCAGGGGATCAGCAGCAGTTTGTTCTTGGGCTTCATCTTGCCTGAGAAGGTAAGTGACCTAATGGCTTTAGTTGAATTGTTGTATTACTTCTAGGAGAGGAACAGAGGTGAAGGAAGAGTTAATGGAAGGAGGGAGGGGTGAGGTTAGAAGAGGAAGAGCAAGCAAAAAGTCAAGGTTCAGTTCTTTTCTACCTGTTGGGAATAGGGCCAGCCTCTCAACTTGCTGGGCAGAGTTCCTCAGTCTACTTGCCAGTTGGATCTCAGGGGGAGCCTACATCAGCCTCAAAGGTGATAGAGCAGGAGGAGATAGTTAGTGCCAGTGTACATCCTCTTGTCAGTCTCATGCCACCTGCTGCAAATGAAAGTAGATCTAGCAGAGTAGTTGTCAGCCTGTCAACTAACATGAGTGGTGTTCTTATAAGAAGAGGAGGAGACAGACAGACATACAGGAAGATCACCATGCAACAACAGGGCCAGGGATTGAAGTCTGAAGTGATACATCTACAAACCAAGGAATGCCAGGGATAGCTGGCAGTGCCAGCAGCTAGGAGAGGGAGGTATGGAACGCATTCTCTGGAGACTTCAGAGTAAACTTGACCCTGCTGACACCTTGATTTCTGAGGGCTAGCCTCTAGAGCTCTAGGAGGATAAATTTCTATTGTTTTAAGCGACCTAATTTGTGGTAATTTATTATGGCATCTCTAGGAAACTAATATATGTCTCCTTCCTTCCTCTTGCTTAATATTGGTGAACCTCATTATTATGCACCTTTGGGTTTATACACATACAGAAGATATGGTTTGGTTATGTTGAAATGGAGAGTTTGACAGGCAGATTCTGTCAGGTAATTGCCATATAATGTTTCATTTAGCTTCTACTTTGTTTTTTTCTCTTTAATTGGGAGGAAGTCATGGGTTTATAAGCAACTATAACTGGCTACTACTAGTCTTTTTTCATTACCCTGAGTTAGCATGACCATCATTTTCAACCATGTTAAATTTCTGCATATATGAAGCATTTTAAGACTGTAGACTGAGATACATATGTCAGCTTTTTAATTTAGATTCCACTATTATTGTCTAATAGTTATATCTCTTAATTCTAGAATTCCTTATTGTTTATAAAACACTTTAACATAAATGATTTATTCACAGGGGTCAAGAAAAGTTTCTTTGTGAAATTTCAGAGAATAGAATTTTTTCAGCATGAGTATGTTAGGCACCTGAAAACAGTTTTTATATTAAAAGTAATATGCTTATTTTAAAGATATTTTTGTTTTATTCTAACACTGATTTACAGTTTATTTCTAATACTCTGATTCATAACTCTTTTACTTGATAATAGATATATCTATACGTTTAGAGAATAAAATAAGCATGCATGCATCTTACATGAATGATTAGGAATATATAATATCACATGGACTATATTAATAATCAAAATTACACCCTAACAATTATCAGTGGAGCGTTAGAATGTCCAAAGTCCTCTTGAGGAACAAAAAACAAAACTGACAAATGGAGTAACTCATTCAGATATCAACACAGCAGTGGGAGAGTTGGTGCCTACAAGTACTTCAGGGACTGACTTCTGCCCTGGCATCAGATTTCCTTAGTAGCATAAATAAATAAATATAGTAAAAGAAACTTAATTTATCCTATTATCCTGTCATCATAATACTACCTAAATATTGTTCTTTGCATATGTATGAGGCTTGTAATTTGCTCAGTGCACATGAATAAGGAATAGCTGTAAGAGTATTTGGCTAGATACCAGCCCTTAAAAAATGTACACAGGTCTTCCCAAGATTTTGAATTAATTCACTGCACATATTTCTGTGCAAGAAAAATTTTAATCATAATATTGGAACAAATCAGAGACCTGGAATTAAAGTTTTTGTGGTAATTGTATCATATCAGCAAAATATTTTTCTTTGAAGGCGGCTTAATGAAAAGTGTACAGGCATTAGACTATGAAAGCAATTTGGTGGGATGATATTCAAGACTGGAACAGAGGAGTGGAATGGTATCCAGGCCTGGGAGGAAAGCAGACAGAGGGATCTACTTCTCTGGACCTAATTCTAACCTACAAAGAGAATTGGCTGGTGATATGGAAATGATGAGTCACCTTGGGATTCTGAGTATAGAGAACCATGTACTGAGACAAATTTAAAAAGAAAAAAAGTCTGTGTTTGACGAAGGACAGTTGTGATTTGATGACCTTGAGACGGTAACAGGAAGGATGGTTAAGAAGTGTTGGATAACTTCTTAGAATAAAATGAAACATAACAACTAAGAAATTTTGACAAGGAGCTTGGGAGAAATATTCAGAGAGAGGGGTCTCGTTGCACAAGAGCTTTAAAATGTACTCAGGAATAAAAAGGTTATATAGAAATAGGGGCTATATAATCAAAGGTGGATATAAGAGCAATTTAGCTTTGCTCATCAGCATGAGCGAAGTCTTGTGAAAAATATCAGAGACAAAATAATGAATGAAAAACTTATGCTTACGGCATATATGAGAGGCCACAATTAGGTTTTGAGTGTAATACAAATAAATAATACAATAATAATAATACAAGAATAAACTCTGTGTTCCATGTACTTACAACTGTAAATGTACTGTTGCCCACCACAGTATATTATTCCTCTAGCTGGATAATGCAACACTGGCTCAGAAAAATTATATTTTAGATTGCTGAAAGGACTGTAAAATTACTGGTTGGCTTAGGAAGAATATAGGATGGGAATAGTGTTTCACATTTGGAAATAGGGAAAAAAAACTTCAGAAGGCTAATTAAGTTCAGTTCACCAAACATTGGGTACCTTCTGTGTACCAGGGATTATGCTGGGTGATGAGATAACAAAGATTAATAAAATGCTTGAATAGTTTATGTTAAATACTGGAAGGATATATTGTAAATACTGGAAGGATAGAATACATATTGAATATAACATTAAAATCATTGGGGGAAGAAAAAAGGAAATGAAGGAAATTATTAAATAGAAGTAAGGAAAAGAGAGAAAGTCATTGAAAAAGATGGCTAAATAGGATGGACAAACTAATTTCAACTATATCAATAGTGAAATCATGGAGACTTTCAGATTTCATTAAAAACTCAAGAAAATGCAACTGTTCAACTATTTTAAAAGTATATACTAAAGCATAATTACCCTATTTTGCAATGTATAATGCACTGCCATGGATAATAATGCACAGCCACGTTTTTGTGTGCATTATACACGGGATTATTATACCCATGTATGATGCACATCCTTATTTTCCTTCAAATTTGGTCAAAGACTGCACATTATACATGGCAGAACACAGAATACAGTTTGAAAGCAAATGAAAGGAAAAAGGGAAAACAGCATGTCATAAAAGTTTCTAGAAATAACACTAGCAAAAACATATAAGATTTATATGGAGAAAATATCAAAACTTTATTAAAGGACTAAAAGATTAACATTTGGAGAACTTCATAGGAAGGAATACTCAACTTATAAAATACATCACTTCTCAACAAAATAAATTCAGTACTATTCCAATCAAAATTTTAACAGGATTTTTCATGGGACTTAATAAGCTGATCCTGAAATTTTTGAGGAGAAAAGAAGGGTCTGGACAGTTTTGAAAAGAAATATGAGATTGTGGGACTTACATAATTAGTTATTAAAAATTATGTAAAACTGTAGAAATTAAAATGGCAAAATAATTACAAGGAGAAGACATGGCTAAAAACATAGTAAAGAGACTCCAGAGTTGTATATATTCAGAGAGAGACAGACACTTGTATGACAGAGGTGACATTACAAAAAAAAAATGATGCAGTAAATAAAAAATGTTGTGACAACTCTTATGACTATGGAA